AGGAGACGAAAGCAGACAACAGAACATTGATAGAGAGCAGGAAAGAAAGTGAAAGTGAAAGTGAAAGGAGAAAGAAATGTTTAAGAGAAGAAAATTTTCTGTCACTATCCGGATTCGAACCTGGGACTGGATTCGAATCTTCAGAGTACCCTCCATTAGAGCTGGGCGGAGAAGCGATTTCGGAACCGATTCCCACTATGAATGTTACGAAAGAAAAGTTCCGACTCCTTTTTATGTAAACCAACGGTTTCTAGTTACTTTGATCATTAAAATCTTTTTTTGTTTAGAATTTGTTTTTGAAAAATAAAAGTTGATGCTTTGAAGTGTTCCAAAATCAAGGCCATCCAAAATCTCGAAGATGTCCGGAGCCAACCATGTAACCATCGAATAAAATATCACATCAATAGAAAGTTAGTAATTGGGTTCGGAGTCGATTCCTACGATTCCTAGCTTGCAAGAATAGGGAACCTCGCCGCCCAGCACTACCCTCCACCCAGTATAAGTAGTGGGAGTAGGTTCAAGGTACTATATGTCATGTAGGCCCCCTGTAGAGAAGCATGAACATTTTAGAATTAAGGCAAGAGGGTGGTTGGCGGGTGCTCTGGTGTGGTTTGCTTTTTCTTTCCTATCAAACATCTATCTTCCTTATCTCCCCTCCTTCTTTTTTGTGTTTGTTGTTATGTAGACTCTTTGTCGTTACTCTCTTGTAACACCTCTAATTTTTTATCTTCGGCACTTATATATGACCTTATTGTGTTGCCAGTGCCGTAAAACACTCACTAAAACAAATTTTAAAAAATTAAGGCAACGAAAGAAGGCCAAAATAAGAAAATATAGTTTGAGAGTACTTTTTTTCCCATACGTCTTAACAACTGATATTTTTTACATTTTTTTTCACCCTCAAAAACACAAGTTTAAAAAACAATCTGCTTTAACTCAGCTTGTCATAGTTGTGAGGGATACAATATAAAATTAACCCTATCTGTACGCCCTGGGGTCATTGCGTACCCCCGGGGTTGTATTCTTCACATTTTTGAATACTTCTATAAGTGCGAAGATCTCTTTGAAACTTTCAGTATTTTTCAAAAAATCACTGCTATGCAAAGCGTACGGATCGGATTAACGAGTAAATTTCCTCTTTGGAAAGTGGTGGTACAAAGCTACCCACGTCGTATGGAATGAAAGGAAAACACGATGTATGGATAGGGTTAAATGTCAATTTCATATTCCCTAGATGTAAGAATTGTATGCACGTCTTCTGTGTAAATGGCAAAGAATGTAACTATCATACCACAGATGCCCGTACACCTTACAGCTGGCCCATAAAACTTCCAAGATGAAATATAGCAGCAATCTTTCATGCCCTTCGTTTGAGCTTGTTGTAGCTGCTGTTTGTTAATAATGTTATTGTTGGTTTTTTTAGTATAGGGAAGCACATAGACCCAACAACAATCATTTAGTGTTTGAGTAAACAGAAGCTCAACGACACAATCAATGACACAATCATCGTCATTGGGGGGGGGGGGGGGGGGAGCAAGAGAGACAGAACCAAGACAGGGAAAGAAAAGAAGTAGAACCTACCAGTGGCTCCCTCCAATCTCTGACCATTCGCGACAGCACATATTTACACCACTCATCAAAATGTGAAAACATAAAACATATTTTTCACCTTTTAGAATTTATTACCTCATACTCATACCACAAAAATATTTTACAATGAAGCGTGATTAAGACAAAAGGAAAAAAAACAACCACAAAAATATAAACCAGCTGATCACAGGAAACAAAATATATTGAACCCAGAGCAAACCACAAGGAGTGGTGCATCACGGGAAAAGTTTTACAGTATGATCTAAGAAATATATAAATTTTTGGAAACAAGTTGGTAGCCTAGGAAGTGGTGAAATTTACAATTGACAATTTCACAGATGTACAGACAGCTACGTGTTGGGGACACAAGGCAAGAATGTGAGCAGTGGAATCATGTTTCTTCATGGGATGACAATGCTATGCTCTCCCTCAGATTCAACGAACCATCCTCTCATTTTCTTACTTCAAGTGGGAAGTGGCAGATAGTTCTAAAATTATATTTCAAACCTGCTTCTCATGCCCCAGCACTCGCTCAATTTTGACCTATTCCGGTTTTCATATCACACTCACAGTGAGGCCCGCACAACCCACTTTTCTTGGGTACTCTTTAATAATACCCCGCACAAAACACTTTTCTAGTGTACTCTTTAATTAATAATACCCCACACAACCCACTTTTCTTGTGTACTCTTTAAGTTTGAGCAGACAGGTACACCAAAGAGTCTACACAAGAGCCAGTTATACTTTAACCTTTGATAAACAATTTTGGCACGAGGAAGAAAACTTCAGAGTACCTCTAGGGTTCCTTCTAAAAGAAGAAAGAAAATGATCGGGACAGTCCAAGAATGCTTACTTGAGAATCATAAAGAACACGGCGTAGTTTAAAGAAGAGTATAATGCAAAGGTGGTTTTCTAAAGGAATCTGATGGACAACTCACAAGAACTTTCCACATGTCATCACTGCTGGGACTTCTTGCTCTTTCCACACATAGCAGTGGGTGAGACTGTGGTCAAACAGGTGAAAAGGAACCAGTATCATATACAGTGGAAACCTGATATAACAGGGATGGTGGGAGTAGAGAAAATGTCCTGTTATACAGTGGAAACCTGATATAACAGGGATGGTGGGAGTAGAGAAAATGTCCTGTTATATCCGATCCCTGTTACTACCGGGCCTGTTACATATGGTTTCCACTGTACCTCAAACTGTTGTTATCCCCAATACATACAACAACAACAACAACAACAACAACAAACTGACAAACCAGCAGTAATATAATAATATAATAATAGGTCAACAGATGGAGAAAAAAAATACCATCATACAGAAGCGACAAGCCAAAGAAGTTCCTCTTGTACCATCACCTTACCTGGAAACAAATGCAAAAGTAAGAAAAAAAGGAAAACCCTCATGACACAGGACTACTATTTATAGCATCCTAATACTTATAGTGAAGAACTACTTGTAATAGTTTGAACAACTTCAACCTCAAGTTTGAACATTCGCAAAAGCATATATATCAGCAAAAGCACCATAAAAATACTGTAACTGCAGCAGACTGTCAATAAAGGTGGCTTGTATTTTTTCATACTTTTTTTTTAGCCAGGCCCTTATCAGGGAAAAGATCTATTGAACCAATGAACATCTCCCCAACCCCCCTTAAACCCCCCCTCCTCCCCCCAAAACCCTGGGATTTCTTAGAAAACACAATAATGAAACAATATAGACATTCTGGTCTAAAAGATTCTGCTCACACAAAAGCTCTCAATTTTAGAAAAAGGCATATATGAATCAAAGAGAAATGAATCAACATCCTTTTTTAAAAACTTCCTTTCAACAAGGCAGAACAAAGCTTGGGAATAGCAAACCACATGCCTACTTGTACACAAGTTCTACTGGGGTTTTTTCTTCAGTGTTTACATTCCAAAAAAATGATGTTATGACTCACTCCCAGAAACCTAAGTCGAAGAAATGCATCCCAAAAAACTCTTTTTTCCTTTGAGGCTTTGATCCATTGATTGCTTTTCTTTGCAAAATGGATCCCACATCTCCTGCGTCACTGTGCTTTGCTCAACCTCTTTCAGACCAAGTACATGTTATAATAAAAGTAACTACAATCAAATCTTAAAGAAGAAACAGTCATTTTAATGGTATAAATTTGAAAATATAAGAAAGGAGTTAATAACAAACCAACAGAGGATGACTCAGAAGCCAAACAATCTGTAACAAGGAATCAGAACATTCAAGGAAATCACTAAATCAATGATTCTAGATGGTATAATCCTGATAAATATCGAGTGTCGTTATAAAACTTCTTTACACAAAAGTAGACAACAAAAGACAGAATGCATCAACGATATTATGCCAAAAGTGGTAGCACATAAATGTCATTTTCCATATAATGGACAAAAATCGTTTCCTCACAAACATCTGTTCATTTTATTATCCACCACTGCGTAATTGATAGGATTTTAAAAAATAAATAAATGTGCTGTTTCTTTACCGTGTGGTATTTTTTTGTTTGCCATAATTCCCAAATGTCTTTAAATTTTAAATGGCACAAACTATTGTTTCGACAAAGGAGCAAGCTATCAATGAGTGCCGTCTTCCTTAAAGAAACATTGTATTGTACCTGTACAAGATTGGAAGCTTTCATTTTCTGACTAAATATGCTGTCAAACAGCAACCAATTAAAATAATTATACAGAAACAATCATCAAATCAAAAGATTTTCAATAGAATCATTATGATAAATCGGAAGTTACCAAACCAACCAAATGACACCAAACAATTCACACAAATGAGGAATCGAGGGATCTATTACAACCATCTGACAAAATACTCAAAATGGATGATCTTTGAAATACAAGCTATGCTTTTCTGGAGGGTAATTGACAACAAGAAAATTGAAACATTCACAACTTTCATTATGTTCGTCAAAAGTTGTACAAAGGATTGATTTGGTACATGCTGAGGAATTAGCGTTCCATTTTCAGAATGCTCGTGTGTAGCATGTTAGAAGCCTTTTCATGTATTGATCTCTCAAAGTTATTATCCCTGAGAGCAAAGAGAAAATTCCCAGAGTATGCATCTTTTCACATGTTTCATCATTTTTAAAATATCATGTGAAACTTAAAGCAAAAATTAAAGATAGCTTCCACATATTTGAAAAGCAATGACTAATATCTAACTCAGCCCATACATTTTGGACTCACTAGTACTTCGCATGATATTGAATCTAAAAGAGAATAAAAAACAGATACAAACAAATCAAAAATTGTATTTGAATATGAAGGCTGCTGTGCGAAAAGGTAACAAAAATGGTCAGTTTTTATTAATCTGCTAGAGTCTATGACCACTGCTGCTGCTGGGGAATTAGCCCTCTCGTCACCAATCACCACGAAAATAGAGAGCATAACAAAGAGGAAAAACAGCTCTTCATTTGGACAGCCTGTATTTATCCCAAGGGACTATTCAGCACTGGTGTAGGCAGGAGGCTGAGGGTAGTTGTCGGGTGTCTTGATAGCATCCTCATAGCGAGGGGGAAGCAGCATCTGGACAAAAAAGAAAATGGTAAATATTAGCAAACAAAATTACAGGAGAAATAATATGTTGACACACATTTTACTAGCTGGTGCTAGTGCTGTGACTATAAGTAGACAGGGTAATGGCAGACCATTCCAACAGCTAGCTGAATGAAAGGGAGGGTAACAAGGATTATGGCAGACCGTTCTAACAGCTAGCTGAATGAAAGGGAGGGTAACAAGGGTTATGGCAGACCATTCCAACAGCTAGCTGAATGAAAGGGAAAAGTAGGGCAACAAGGATTATGACAGACCATTCCAACAGCTAGCTGAATGAAAGGGAAAAGTAGGGCAACAAGGAGGGCGGTTGACATGTGATTTGATTTTATCAGGATAAATTTCAGTGGTGAAGTGAAGCATTTTCAAACATACTCAACATAACCTATTCAAGGAAATGATTGTCTGATGAGCTGAAAAGGAAAGCAAACAGCTCAACTATAATGAGAGACAGGTGAATTAAAAGTTTAAAAATGGTAATGCAGGCTTAGCACTTTGCAGTCACACAGCCAGTAGTAGTAGTACAAAATACCCCATCTGGTCACCCAGCCAGGAAAGTGACTGCAACGGACTTTGCAGGCTTGGTGCAGGTGACCGGAACCGATAATTTTCACCAGCGCATTATTGCGCAAGTGACTGCAAAGTGTTAATGACAAATACACTCTGTCACAAAGCAATCTTGCTAGACAGAAAAAGAATGAGCTTGGGGTAGGGGGTCAAGGAAAATAAATACAGTCCTACCTCGTCATACCACCCTCTATTACACCACCAGGTTTTGGACAATTCACCAAAAGGAAAGCCTATAAAAACATATTATTTACACCTTTAAATCATCTTCTCCCAACTGTTGAGCTGTACAGTCTTTACTAAGCTAATGTGAATTTATCCTGCAACATCACCAGAGAACTGACCACCAGAGGTGCACACCACACACAGCCCACAGAACCCACTCGGTGGCTGCACGGTAACTATCTCCATTTCTCTCCCACATGACTGCGAGCTAGCACTTGTCTCTGATTCTCTCACACATGACTGCGAGCTAGCACTTGTCTCTGATTCTCTCACACATGACTGCGAGCTAGCACTTGTCTCTGATTCTCTCACACATGACTGCGAGCTAGCACTTGTCTCCCTTTTTCTCGCACATGACTGCGAGCTAGCACTTGTCTCTGATTCTCTCGCACATGACTGCGAGCTAGCCCTTGTCTCTCATTCTCTCACACATGACTGCGAGCTAGCACTTGTCTCTGATTCTCTCACACATGACTGCGAGCTAGCACTTGTCTCTGATTCTCTCACACATGACTGCGAGCTAGCACTTGTCTCTGATTCTCTCACACATGACTGCGAGCTAGCACTTGTCTCTGAAGTGCTGCTTCCACTCCTATTCCATCTCCTCACACCCTACCCTTGTCTTGTAGATTTCAGGCAGCAAGTAGTCTCTGATCCATCAGTATACATAATTTTCAATTTGAATTTGTACAGACATACACACATACAAAAAAAAAGAGAGAGAGAGAGAGAGAGAGAGAGAGAGAGAGAGAGAGAGAGAGAGAGTCGGAGACCTAGAAGGGTCGAATTATAGACCCACATCAAAAGCCAGGAGTAGTCCTTTTTTATGAGAAAAAAAAACATAATCCAGGGCCTTAAATAAACAAAGAGAGTTGCCACAATTTCACGAAATGACGAAA